CATATATATATATATATATATATATATATATACACCTACACGCTCTCTCTTGCTTTTTATCCTCCTCTTTTTCTCTATATGCGATCTCGCTCTGTGTCCCTCACCATTCTTTTTTTTTTTTTTTTAGGTCGTCAAGGAAGTATATATGCTGTTTTTTTTTTTTTTTGCCAGCCGCTTCTGGTTTGGTTCGTCACTTTGGAGGAATCTTATGGCAATGTTTCTGCGCCCTTTAGAGCCGGTGCCGATGGCGAAGGATCAGGCAGATGATACTCTTCCCTGTCCCCCCGTACCCATACGTGGCCACTCTCTCTATCTCCCTCCCTGTGAGCGTGCGCGCGCGAAAGAGGGAAGGAAAAAACGGCGCGGAGACACTCACAAGCATTCATCTAAAAGCTATGTCTGGTTACGTTCCCCACTTCAGCTGAAGTTCGGCCTTCGTTATGCCCTCCCCCCCTCTTCTTTTTTGCTTTTGTTTTGTGGATGCGCGTTTGTTTGTTACTGTTATCTTCTGCATTTCTTTATTTGTGTGGCCTTTTCCTCCACTTTTTTTTTTTGCTTCTTCTGGTTCCTCCCTGCTTGTGGTCGCACACCTTCGAGGGCAGCCCTATGTTTTTGTGCGTCCGTTCCTGTTCGTCATCTGTGCTTCTCCCTCCCTCCCTCACACACACACACACATACGCATTCCCCGCGTGCACCTGCCTTTATTGCGGCGCACCACACGTGCACGTGAGCTTTTCACTACGCGGACCGCGGCGACGGCTTGAGGCGGCGCAATGCGCACGCCTCCGGCCACCTGTGCTCCTTCTTCGCTGCTGCGGCCATGAACGCGAGGTACGGCGGTGACGGGTCCAACGGTGACGAGATGAACTCGGGGTGGAACTGGACGGCGAGGAAGAAGCGAAGAGCTGGCAGTTCAATTGCCTCCACACGCGTTTGCGGGCCTAACACCGCGTCCGACATCCCACTAAACAAAACACCCGCCGCACGCAACTCGTCAATACAGGACGTGTCTACCTCGTACCTGTGACGGTGGCGCTCCACGACGACGTCGGCGCCGGAGTAGATGGTGGACATGATGGAATTCTTCTCAACTATGTGCACGTTGCGGGCCCCTAGGTGCATGTTGGCCCCCATGCTATGGCGATCGCAGTCCATGATGTGCACAATCTGATGGGTGCTGCTGCTGTCAAACTCCTCGCTGTTTGCGTCCTTCCACCCAATCACGTTACGGCAAATTTCAATAAGGGCTACCTGCATCCCCAGGCAAACGCCAAAATAGGGAATGTTGTGACGGCGCGCCAACTCCACCGCAACGCACTTGCCATCCACCCCACGTTTACCGAAACCGCCTGGAACAAAAATGCCGTCGCACTCGAGAATGGCCTCCTTGGCCTCCTCTGCATTAGGCCCCTCCAACATTTCCGACTCCATGTACATGATGTCAAGCCGAACATGCAGGGCAATCTGACAGTGTTCCAGGCATTGCAGAACCGAGAAATACGCATCCCCACCAGCTGTGACATATTTTCCCACAAAAGCAATTCGCACAACCGGGTTTGACATGTCACGCAGAATCCTGGTATACTCCACATACGTCTCATAGCTGGGCACGTCCGCTGCTGGAACCTTTGGGTGTAGCCGTAGCTTGTGCAGTAACCGCTCAACCAGGCCATCCTTGGTGAATTCCACAGGAATCTCATACAAGCAATCCACATTTGGTGCCCCAATAATGTCACAAATTTTAACACCACATTGATTACTTAGCTTCTCCTTCACCTCCTTCGTAAGGCGTTCCTCACTACGGCATATCATAAAGTCCGGCTGAAGGCCAATAGACAAGAGAGCACGAAAGCAGTGCTGCGTCGGTTTTGTCTTCTGCGCCCCACCAAAAACTGGAAGGTACGTTGTGTGCATCAAGCAAAAGTCTTGCGGCGGAATGGAATAGCGAAGACGGCGCAACGCCTCCATAAAAGGCTGCGACTCCATATCCCCTACTGTGCCGCCAACCTCAATCATGCAGATCTCCGGCCCTTTGCCACTCTCACACACCGCCTCCTGACAGACATTGAAGATGTGATCCACCACCTCGTTCGTAAAATGCGGCACCAACTGCACCGTCTTTCCCAGAAATCCTCCGGCACGCTCCTTCTCAATGAGTTTGTGGAACACCTTCCCGGTGGTGATATTGTGATTTGACTTTAAGGATACCGCCATCCAGCGCTCATAGTTACCCAAGTCGAGGTCTACTTCGCCTCCGTCAGCGAGAACGTACACCTCGCCATGTTCGAACGGGCTCATTAGTCCCGCGTCAATGTTGATGTAGGGGTCAATCTTAATGCTGCACACGCGGTAGCCTTGTGCACGGAGCAAAGCGCCAGTAGCCGACGTCGTCACCCCTTTCCCAAGCGAACTACAGACACCACCCGTTACAACAACAAACTTAATGTTGTTGTTACTGTCCATCGAGCGTGTCATGGGGGAGGGAAGGTAGTACGACGACCCAGTGGCCATGGATCTGCCAAGCATTATGGTAACACACAAAAAATACACGCTCTTCTGTGCACAAACGTCGCCCTGACCTCAACTTCAACAAGACAAAACGAAGACAAGATGATCACGCACACAACAACACAATACAAGCTAGTAACCAAGATGCAGCCTCCAGCCAATCTAATACAAAAACACAAAAAAAAAAACTACAATACGATTTGATACAGTCGTAACAACACAACAAGCAAAGAAGGAGCGGGGTCAATGAAAGCTGAAGACACACACACACACAGACAGCACTGCACATCAATCCCGTCACCGACAGACAACCGTGACGGCCCAGAGTGAGGCGTGGCTAATCAATGGTTCTTGGGCGCCTTAATTGGGACGCTCCCGCGCGAGGCAAGGCGTGACATCCCACTCAACGGGCCCTTGCGGGGCTGCCAATAGACAAGGGGAGGGTGAAAACGAGGAAAAGAAAGGGAACACGGTGGCGCTGATCATGGGGATGTTCTTCTGCATCAGTTCGAGTGCACGCTGCACACGTCGGTGGAGGACAAGTACATCCAGTGTCTAATCACTGCGCGGCTGCAGGGGCCACTTGCACAGCGGCAGGCGACGGGAGGCTCGGGGGCGACGACTACAAACGAAGAAAAGCGGGAAAAGAAAGTAGAAATTAGAAGCACAGAGGGC